AAAACTTTTGCTTAGAAGTCGAATATAGTTTTCATAATAAAGTTTTGAGTTATTAAAGTTTTTTATTACACAATATCTGGTGATCTGATAGGCTCAACATATAACTGGATGACATCACCCAAGGCGAATTAGACACCTAGAAAATGTGTACCAGGTTGAGCTCGGATGATCGTCCGGAACATTAGGCCGGAACGGTGATAGTCGGAACTAGAAAAAAAATAGCCGTGCATTGTTATACGTATATATTAAACTTTCAAATAAAATTACGTATTAATATTGTCATTAATTTATCTTTAAATTATCATATTTTCGCTTTTTTTTTTTCTTTTGAAAAATAAAAGCAAAATTTGTTGCAAGATCTTAGTAAACCATCGAATATGTCGAATTTACCTACGCCACTTCAACAAATACTTCCATCGGCTTATGAGTATCAAGTAGATAACTACAATGAATTGGAACCTAAAGTCACTTCGGAAAATGTAATAATTGGACAGATTGTCGTCGATTTATTAGTGAATATTAAAACCAAAGAAGATGCTTTAAAATGGGTCAATGAGTTTCAAGAAAAATCCAAAACTACTATGCGCCTAACTCGAACATATCCCGTTAAGGAAGCAAGGTCATTTTTAGAGAGATGCGACACTGTATTCACAGTGCCTTAGTGAAACAAAAAAATAGTAACCATGAAATCAAAAAACCACATAGCTTGAGAAATAGAAACACAAATTGTTCTGCAACACTTGGTCTTAGATTAAAAAATTCTAATTCTCTTGAAATTAATTTATGTTTTACTCATAATCATTTACCTAATTCTGTTGCTTCACTAAGCTTTCGACCAGTTGGGCTTGAGGCTCAAAACAAATACATTAATTTATTTAAGGCAGGGCATTCTGCAGCTACTGCGCGACATGTTTATGAGGACGAATTACATTTATCAGCATCAAGTCGTGAAGAAATAGTACGATTATTAGCTGATAGATCAAAAATCTGGATGAGGGTTTTATAAAATATCTTTATAATAAATTTCGTGTTATGCATTTAGAAGATCCGAATGGAAAGGAAATGTTTAACCGATTACAGGAAGTTGTAGATTTGTATAACATTTCTGATAACAGAAAAGCAGTACTTCAAGTGTATAATTCTTTAAAATCAACACCCTTTATTCTAACTATTTCTCTCTAGCTTATTCCTTTCTAACTTATTTCTCTTTAGCTTATTCCTCTCTAATTTGTTCTTTTTTTAACTTTTTTTTTAACTTTTTTTTGTCATTTTAGCTATGACAAATAAACTTTAAGTATTTTTTTTTGTTGTTTTATTTTACTTTTAATTTTTTGTTTCATTTTTATTTATGGTTGATGCTTACTAGTACCTTTATTTTCATATTTTCTCTTTTTTTGTCGTGTATCAATTTAGGTTAGATAAAAAATAAAATGGTTTGTAGTATTACTATATTTGTTGTAACAACTTTGACATAAAATAAGTTCTGTTTTTTTTTTCTTTTTTTTTTGTTTATCAAAATATTTGAAGTTTTGTAAATAGTTTTATAATTAAAGTTAACTCCAACTTGATTTTAAAATTACAGTTATGGAAGTTTTATAGTCACACATACATATATACATTATAAAGGGCAAAAATATTCACCGGTCTGGATAATACAACTATTTGGTCATGAATTCCAATTGTTAACATAGATTTTATTTATTGGGAGGATTAGTAGAATAAACACTTCTACTTCAAGAGCTTAGAAGGTTTTGAACTCCATGAATAAACTTTGAGCTCCCAAAAGTTATGTTTTATTTCTGGAGAGAATCTTCACTTAAATAATTATTTTTACTTATACAAGAATAACGCAAATTCTAATTTTTCTAGCTTTTCTAATTTGTCTCATTATTCTGATTTTTCCCACTATTCTAATTTTTTCTACTTTTTCTTGAATTTCCCAAATTCTAGGAATTCCAGAAATTTGTACTACTGATTACTGCAACAACAACCTTTTTTTGGATAGGGTATTTCTGCTTTTTATAATTCTCCTGACCCTTAAGTTCAAGTTCCACAAGAACATCAAAACAATAAAGATAATCCACAAGAAATAATAAAAGTAAAACAACACAAAGATACAATAAAAGGTACTCTATATGCCACACATCTATCAATTTCAACAACATTTCTATTTTTAAAGTAATGTCCAAGATTATATGTACTATTAGTATAACCAATTCCAATTTCTGCTGGTTTTTAATAATCATTGGATGTTTTATATTTATCTTTTTTAACAATCCTATTTTGATTCAATTCGGCAAGATCATGTGTCTTATTATTCATTTTCACAAGCATTTGATAACTAATAGGTGCTTTATATTTATCCTTTACAGTGCTACTTCCACTGTCAATATTATTCCTCAAGGTTAGCAACATTTGATCGATCTCAATCTTCAATTCATCCCACTGATGGTTGTCTATCCCAACAATCGCTCTTTTTTCATCATCAGGTACATTGCAGTACTTTTTATTAATTTCGCATTTTGAGTCTTCATTATCACTAAAATATACACTTGTTACATCACATATTTATCTTCAATTTTGCTATCCTTTATTTTATTCTTTCTGATTCCTATTCCCTAATAATAGTGACCAGCGTTAAGTGTTCCTTTAGTAAGCATATTCTGGGGTTTCTTTGATAGTTAATAAATGCATTATGTTTGTCTTTTTCTACTCCAATTCTATCACAATACGTTTCATCAGCACCACCCAAATTTCTGGGCTTTTGATAAGCAGTTGCTTTATAATCATTTTTTTCAGTTCCGATTCCATGTTGAGAACAATATTTGGTAGCATAAGTTCCATTATCATCAACTTGGATTCCATTTTTATAGCTATACCTGAGATCAAAAGTGTTATGGCCAACCTGTATTGGCAACTTTCTGGCAATAAAAAGATGCCTGATGTTTATTCTTTTCATCTCCAATTCAATTTTCATAGCAGAGTTTAGAGCTACTTTGTTTATCAGAATGTTCATGTTCGACAATGTTCTCACAATATTCAAATGTCTTATAATCTTCCTTTTCAGTTCTATTTCCATTTTGATAACAGTAATCAACCGATTTTGATAATATTCGAATGACTTCTTTTTATACAAGCCCTCAGGTATGATTCTAATCTTAACTTCATTCTTTTAATTCAATTCATCAAATTTCATATTCATAACTTTACTTTAATGGTTTTATCAATACAATCAAATTTGTGCCTGTAACCTTTCAGATCTTCATTCACTATTTGAATATCAGGTATGTGTTCTTCGTTGTGTTCATTTCTATTAATGTTCTTTCATTCACCTTACTAACGATTCTATTCTTTTTCCTTTTGTCATCATTCATCGTCAATTTACTTTTAACACACCTGATATCTACTAATCGGTTTCTTCTTTCATCATCATATTCTTCAATCACTATTTCATCAATCACAGGTTCTTCTAGAAGTACAAACGTTGCCCTTTTAAGGCCAGCCCGAATTGTGTAGCAACATTTTTCATTTTCCCCTATGATTTGATATTGAACTTTCGTTATCTATGATATGAAATTTTTGCATTACGTCTCACAGTATTTTTCATATTATATTTCGCGATATTTTTAGCATTAGTTATATAAGATTTTTTACATTATGTCTTATAGGATTTTATATTATGTTTTATATTATATTTTTTTATATTATGTTGTATAGTATTTTTATATTAGGTTTTATATTATTTTTATATTAGGTTTTTATATT